CTAGAAATTAGAGCTCTAAATAGGTTAAGGTGGTTTGGGCCAGTTGGCAACATTAGCAGGAAATACTTAAAGTTTCATTCTTAACAGTAGAGGAGTCTGCAGAACATAAAGGCTGTGACTATTCTTATGGATGAGCTCTGGAAAAGAATCCTTAGATGAGATGAATTGTAAGACATTAATAGCCTTTCAGTATCTGACCATGAAGAAATCAGGGAAACTTGCATGTGGAGGTGATATAGGCTAATGGTCGGAACATGAAGTGAACTTTGAAAAGGACTCAAACTAAATAATGGGTTTAATTCTATCTATTTAAAACAAATTTCATTTAGTATTTTTACTTTATGTGTATGAGTGTATTGCCTGCATGTATGTAAGTGCACCCATGTCGTGCAGTGCCTGAGAGGTCAGAAGAGGGCATGGAATCCCCCTGGAACTGGAGTTGTGGACGGCTATTAGCCGTCATGTGGGTGCTGGGAATCAAACCTGGGTCCTATACAAGAGCAACCAGTGCTCTTAACCACTGAGCATCTCTCCATCCCCTTAAATCCATCTTTGTATACCTGCAGTACTTTGATGAGATTGTATCAGTGGGGTTTTCCTTCTGTAATCATGTGGAAAGTAGATAATTTGTTATGAATTTTACCCTACTTTCAAAAATATCCCAGTTACCAGGCACTTTCATAGTTGTGTGTCCATTTTTTCACAAATACATGCAGATACACAATCACAGAATATGTATGCCCCCACGTTTCCTTGTTTCCCCTTCAGCAGCTGTAAAGGACTGTGCCATTTATGTCATACTCCTACTTGGGTTTGCCTGAAGGGAAAATAGTACTGATAAGTAAAGTGACCTCCTGAGTGCAGTTCAGTGTTGCAGATATGATTGTTTCAAGACCAGTACTCAGATTACCTCCAGGTACAATTTTTATGAAATTTACTGTTATTTAAATTACCTTGAAACATTAAAAAAACACACATTTTTCCATTTTTGCAAAACAAAGAAAATCTATTTTTATTTTTAACTTGATTATGAAATACACTGTTTGAATTTTCTTTTTAAATATTTTTATGCCAGGCGTGGTGGCACATGCCTTTAATCCCAGCATTTGGGAGGCAAACTCTGTGAGTTCGAGGCCAGCCTGGTCTACATAGTGAGTTCCAGGTCAGCTGGGGCTACAGGAAGACCCTGTCTCAAAAAGCAAAAAACAAAAAAATAAATAAAAATATTTTTATTTTTATGTGTTTGAATATTTTGTGTGCATGTATGTAAATGCATCCATGCATGCAATGCCCAAGGAGGCCAGAAGAGGGTGATGGATCCCCTGGAACTGAAGTTAGGGACAGTTAGCTGCCATATGGGTACTGGGAATTGAACCCAGGTCCAGCCAGTGCCCTTAACCCCAGAACCATCTCTCTAGCCTCTGAATTTTTTTCTTGACCTTAACTATGGATCTTGGGCAACTTTACCTATTAGGGTCTCAGCAAAATAATGAGCTAGACGGGTTTATTTCCAAGTTCTAGTCTCTTATGTTAGTTGTTTATTTTTAAATGAGTACTTTGACAGATTTGGAAATTACCAGTTAACTAATTTTAAGATGTAATAATTATTTAGTGAGCTTTTAAAAACCAAGTCTTTAATTTAATGTAGGTAAATTAAATACTTAAAAGATAGTTAGGAGCAGGTTGAGACAGCTCAGTGGGTAAGGGTGCTTACTGCCAAGCCTGACACCTGAGTTGGATTCCCAGAACCCACATGATGGAAGGAGAGAACCCATTCCCACAAGTTGTTCTCTGACCACATGTGCACTGTGGCAAAAGAGCGTGTATGGACACACACACACGCACACCTTTTTAAAGGTGAATAGCTTTCCTTGCCATTCTACAGGTTGTTATGTTGCTACTAAGCATTGCAAAACCTGTAGTTATACTTAAGATTAGATGTATGTAGTAAAACTTAACCAATTTATATTAAATATGTACAGAATCTAGGTTTTTTTCTGCCTCCTTGAGTGCTGGGATTAAAGGTGTATGCTACCATGCCTCGCAAGAGTCTAGTTTGAAAGAATTACTTTTATTTATATTAAAATGTGTGTGTGTGTGTGCACGCATGAATGTGCATGTGAGTACAGGTGCCCACAGAAGAGGGCATTGGATCCTCTGGAGCTGGAGTTACAGGCTGAACTCAGGTCCTTCGCAAGAGCAGTATGAATCTCTCAACTGCTGAGCCATCTCTCCATCTCAAGAGAATCTAGTTTTAGTTACAGACATTAAAAAGTGCAACTTGGTCCGTGAATAAAGTACATAACTCAAAATTAAGTTACAAATGTTAACATCTAGGGAATGTGGCTTAATGGCTCTACAGAAGAAACAGTTCAAGTAATGTACGAAAACAATACAGGCCCAGTGTAAATTATGGTTATTGTTATCACTTGAGTTTTCTGTCTTGAAAGTAGTTTATTAAAATTGAGTGAATACCCACTCATTTGACTGTGTGGTCTCAGTTTCAAAAGGTATGTTCAACAGATATATTTCATTCTAGCCCTTCAGCAAATGATCTGTAGTTGTTCATTGCTAATAATCCAATTAATAGTGTGTGTGACAGCGGAGTTTTGCTGCTAATAATTCCCTGGTAGTGCTGGCTTGTGCCCGTCTTCCTGATACTCAGTATATATTGTCATTGGTCATAGGGAGCAGTGACATCATCACAACCAAGTTAGCAGTAGATCTAACCTACTTTAGATAGAAATACTGTTTTCTAGTCTCTTTGCTTGCTTCCTAGATGACCTGTTTTTTTTTTTTAAAAAAATGGATATCATGGTTTGTATTTCTCATATAATTGCTACAGCATATTTCTGTTTCTTATATCTGAACTGTTCATAATAAGCTTCTATAATGAACTAAAGTGATTAAATAATTTAATATTACAGCATAGTGATAGGCTACACATATACAGAAGACAATTGTATCGGGCCTACGTTGAAGCAGTGGCCGTGTGTTTTTGAGGGAAACTGATAGTTATATAGTGATTTATAAAATTACTCTTAAATAAGCATAACCAATATATGTTTATGAGTTGGTGTTGGATTATTCACATATTGTGGAAGATAAAATCAAGACAACATGTCTATCACTTCACCTACTTATTATATTTTGTGGTAAGAACATTTAAAGTCTACTGTCTCAGCAATTTTCAAGAATATAATAACAGTAGATACTATGCTGTACAGTAGATCACTAAAACCAATTCTCTGATCAGGCAGTATTTGTCTTCTGGGCGTGACTTATGTCACTCAGCTTGGCATTTTCCCGTTCACCCCTTCTGCTGCAAATGTCAGAATATTCTTTGTAGAGACTCTAGCATTCCATTGTACACACACACCACAAAGTTCCATTATCTTGTCAGACACACACCAACCTCGCAGTTCTTCTGTGTCTGTATCCCAGAGAAAGGCATGCATGTGGGTATCAAAGACACTTGCTTTAAAAGGTTTATAGCAGAATTATACGAGTCCAAATTCAAATCAATCCAAACGTTTATGAACTGAAGTTTGTGTATGTAAGTATGCACAGTTGTGTTTGCCTGCATAAGTGCATTTAAGTACAATGGAATTCTGTATAGCATTGAAAAGGGATGAATCACAAGTAAGTAGTACAGTGGGTTAATTTCATAAACATATCGCAAATAGAGTAAGATGTCGCTCAGCAGTTCCATTTTTATGAATTTTATAAGTTGATGAAACTAAGGTTTATTGTCAGAACTCAGGAGAGTGGTTCCTTATATGGAGTTGGGCAGTGCTTGTGAAAATGAGTAGCCTCTTGGGATGGTGGCCAACTGTTGTGTCTGACCTTGGATTGCAGTAACTCAGGAGCATGCTTTGTGATAACTCATTACATGAGGCTTTATAGGTGTATGTGTGGTTTTCTGCCCAGCAGGTGGTGGTTTAAATAATGAGATTAAAAAAATGATTTTCTCATCAGTGAAGCTCCCTCATGTAACAGAGGGCAGGCTCAGGGAAGAGGGGGTGAAAAGATTGTAAGAGTCAGGGGAGGAGGTGCATGACCATATGGAAACAGAGTCTTACAGTCTCCTGGGACCTTGCTTATATAAACCTTGCAATGGTGTCAGCATGCACAAGATCCATGCAAACTCAAGCAGACAAAAACCCAGCATAGAACTGTGGAAATGGGCAGCAGGCCCCAATCTTACTTGAAGAACTATTGGGACGCTGATTACTACGGGGTGAGGGAGAGCTGATCTTCTTAAAGGGAGGGACTCTAGATAGGCTGAGTAGATTTCAGTGGATGAACTTGTACTGAGGGACATCAGGGGACACTCACTTAACTCGATAGGCCTTAATATAAATGACAGAATGCATGAAATCCAGTGGGGATGGGGGTATAGAGGGGCCTAAGATGTTGAGTATAAAATACACAAAAAAATCAGTAAAAATATATTTTAAAAAGGGTTTTCAAAGAGATCACAGGTTTTTTTGGGCTGTATTAGTTTTTTTTTTTTTTTCCCTCATGTTGTCTCTTAAACTTGTCTTCTTACAGATTTGTTAAGGGCTGGTAGATGGAGAATGAGGAGAAGGCCACATTTCCCTTTATAGCTTCTGATAATATAACTGGTGCCCTTCGATCATAACTCCTTAATGTGTGTTGGGGCTCAGATACAGAGTGTGCCCTTCCTTGCTGTGCTGCCTTCCAGGCAATAGGAAGGGCACGGAGGCAATGGTGATGCGTTTCCACTCTCTAGAAGCTTTTCATTCCAAATAATGTACTGGAATGAAGGAAGCATCTCATTCCAACATTTCATAAAGACTTAATTTCAGGAAAATCCAGGCTATCATATTTAGTTTCATTAAAGAAAAGAATCAGGGAGGTTTTCCCCCAAGATCACTCTAGGTGCCTGTTAGCATGGTTATTTGTAACAGTAAAATTCAGGTCATTTTCTACATTTTTAACTTCTAGTAAACTTTTTTTTTTTTTTTTTTTAACAGGTGGAGAGAGAACCTGTGGTGTTCATGAACTTATCTGTATTAGAAAAGGTAGGCAATGCTCTGTGTAGGTGTTTATAAATACTAATGTACATGAACTCATCTGTATTAGAAAAGGTAGGCCAGTGCTCTGCGTGGCTGTTTATAAATACTGCTGATAGTCTATAATAAATGTTAGTATGATAATTTGGATATGTAAAACATAAAATTTATTAGATGTTCATATTATCTGTATTACAGACGAGCATACTTGGAGTCCTTGTTTGTTATGTGACTACTAAGGATCATGTTTCATTTTGATGGACTGATAAAGCCTGGTTTCTAGCATGTTAGTTTTTAGACATGAATAGGCAGAGAACAGAGGTTTGATTTCTGTTCCCTTTCAGAATCTGAATGCTGGGTGTGTGTTGGCCTCCAGTTGATTTCTGTTCTGTTACTGTTCCCCATCAGAGAGATGGGAGCAGTTGGTTGAAATTTCAGTAGGAACATAAACAAAGACCACACAACCCCATGACTGTAACAGCTGTCTGTGCTTCCTTAGAAGGAGCCATCTGGCAACTGGGTGGCTTAGCTTAGCAAGGTGGCCCAGGAAAGGTAATTTGGTTATTAGGTGTGAGGCAGGGATCCAGGTGTTCTCTAGGTTCGGAAGAATCAGGGGAACCTTGGGAGACCCCAGTCCTTAGGAGTTACCACAGATCTGAAATGCTGGCAAGAAGGATGCAGGTAGACCCCGGGAAAGCAGGGAAGAGTCCTCAGCCCCTGCGGCTCCTGCCTGTGTCTAAGCAAGGGTCATTTCTTTCTTCTCTCTCTTAAACTCACCTGGCCCTCCTGAGTCTAGCCAGCAGCCCCAAGCCTATCCTGACCTTTTACCTCGAGGAGTTTTGGAGCAGTGTCTGTGACACATGGTATGATTGGCATGCCAGGGAAATGTCAACCTATTTTCAGTCTTGACAGCTCTGGAAAATTCTTAGCTGCATTGGAATTAAAGGAAAACAAACAAACAAAACCAAAACAAAAGACTAAGCCTTCTTTGGGTGAGCACATGTGACCATTGCTGGGGTGGTCGTGCTGATTAGTCTGGAGGTCACTACCTACAGCTTTGTCATCCTTGAGAGACGACAGCCTTTCCCTTCATTTACATGCAAGTTATTCACACCTTTCCTCCAGTGCTACGAAGGGGGAAACTGAAGCCAACTTTTTTGATATTAGCTTCTTATTAAAAATGCAGAGGATAGATTTGCACATTTTTTATGTAAAAATTTTATTCTTGTGCTATAATGTTTTAATCCAGACTTACTGGAAGCATTTTAAATACTTTTGTAGTCATCTTGTTGCACTAAACATTTTGAAACCTTTTTGTTGATGGGATGGCAAAGATGCTGTATGGGTCATTTGGAATCAAAAGTGGTTAAAGCAGTAGTCAGGTAAAGATTCAAGATAAGACTAGATTAGCTAGAAGGAAGGAACCCAGGGCCCAGGGTGCAGCACAGAGGGCTCAGTGGCTCCAGGGGAACTGGACGCTGTAGTCGGGAAAGAGGCCATCAGTACAGCTGCTGATCTCAGTAGACTGCTCAGCTTGGCCAAGCACTCTGGCCTGCTGCCATCTTTAGCTCAGAGGGTCTGGCTCATAGTGCTCTGAGTATTGATCCAGCCTTTTCACTTCTTTTTGTTCTATGGGATCTTCACGCTGTGATTATTTAGTTTTGAGATAGGGTCTCATATAGCTTAGACTGGCCTTGAACTCAATATGTAGACAAGAAAGACTTGTTTTGTTTTGTTTTGTTTTTGGTCTTTTTGAGATGGGGTCTCCTTATAGCCCCAGCTGTCCTGGAACTCACTATGTAGACCAGGCTGGCCTTGAACTCCCAGACTCGTAGAGATCCGCCCACCTCTGCCTCCTCAGTGCTGGGGTCAAAGGCATGTGCCACTATGCCCTGCTAGCCAAGGAAGACTTTTAACTCCTGATCTTCTACCTCCACTTCCCAAGTTCTGGGAGTGTAAGTGTGTGCTGCCATTCCTGGTTCTATGCATTGCTAGGCACTGAACCCAGGGCTTTGTGCATGCTAGGCAAGCACTCTTATCTCTCAGCTGCATCCTCAGCCCAGTTACAGTTTAAAAAAATTTATTCACACTGTAGTCATATCATGGACAAGTATCTAATTTTTTTTCTATTTCCTCAGTATTTAGTAGTGTCATATTGTAGATGTTTCATAAGTGTTTAAACATCTAAGACAGCTAAAGCTTTTTCCTTCCTTCCTTCCTTCCTTCCTTCCTTCCTAGTTTTCTTCTATGTGTTCTCTATAGGTGCTTTCTTTATGGCTCTACAGGACTTACATAATCCCTGTAGTCACAGCTGGCCTGGATTCCCTAGGGAGACCAGGCTGGCCTTGAACTCACAGAGATCCACCTGCCTCTGCCTCCCAGATGCTGGGATTAAACGCGTGAGCCACCATACCCAGCAAGCTTTTTCACCATTTTAAGCTGGACTTTTGTAGACTAGAACATACAAAGGTTATATAAAACAGAACAATTATAGTTAGTGGCAGTTATCCTGTTAAGATGATGCAAAGGTTTTTTTTTTTTTAAGGCAGCATCTCATATATCCCACCCTGGCCTTTCACTTGCTGGGCATCTGAGGCTAGCCTTGAACTTTCCACCTTCATGCTTCTACTGCCTAGTGCTGGATTGCAGGCGTGTGACCGTGCCCAGCTTAGCCCTGGTTTTCTTTCTATCTGTGCTGTCTCTCTTTTGCTAGCGGTTCTCCTCTGTCCACAACCAGAATATGTGAGGATGTGGTGTCTGACTAACGCTGCTGTACCATCTTCCCCGTCTATTTGATTTTATCTAGTTTTGCTGTTGTGAATGCTCCTTGAACTTCAAGCTAGTGTAGTTGGCCTTTGAGTCCTTGCTTTTTTATCTGAGAACTTGAAATTTCTATCTGGAGTTCCATTAGATAGAAGACTGACCCATCTAAAACGCACATCCTGGTTTCTTAAGTGAGCCCTCACCTTCCACAGCCCTCCTCATTTCAGCTAAGTAGCACTCTGTTCATCTGCTTAGTTCCCAACCCAAGAATCTTCCTGTCGCCTACACTGAACTTGAGGCTGAAGTTCCATTGCAGTGTATTTTGAATCCATCTTCTTTTTTCCAGTCTGCTGCTGTCACTGAGTGTGCTTTGTTGTTTTTTTTGCCTAGATCACTGGAGTGGTTTTCAAACCAGTTTTTCTCATTTACGTTCTTTCCTTCCTATAGTAAGCATTAGTGGTTTTAGTGTAAATCAGGCCATATCACTTTGCTGGTTAGAATTCTCTGGATTTCCCTTTTACCTGGAATAAAAGCAAAGCACCTTACCCTGACCCACAAACCAGCAACACAGAGTCCAAAGTGTCATGTACACACTGTCAGCTCAGAGGCATAAACGTTTATATAGAAATGTGTGTGAATACTTACTATTGGAGAGCTGTTGGTAGGGAGATTTTGAAAAGGAAGATTGCTCTGAAGAGTAAAGGTCATTATTACATTGCAAAATGGTGCCTGTCATAGTTGTTTTTTTGTTGCTATGATAAATCCTCTGACAACAGCAGCTGAAGGGAGAAGGTTTATTCTGGCTCACACTGCCATGGTACAGTTCATTATGATGGGAAAGCCATGGTTACAGGAACGCAGGTCATCTTGTCACATTGCCCTGCAGTCAGAGAGGGGAGGGAGAGGAGTGCTGGTACTCAGCTGGCCTTCTCCTTACTCCTTAAAAAAATTATCAGCATCACTTAAAAAACAGCAGTATTACATTGAAGAACTTTGTGTAGGTTGGAGAATTTGGAAAGGGAGTAAATGGCAAACTCACATTACAGCAGCAATGAGAAATTTTACCATATTGTTGAATCTTGGTAGTCCAGTGTTGTCAGAAAAAAAATACTCAGCAATTATAGTAGACATATAAAACTGCAAATTTACATTCTTAAACTAAAATTATGTGTTTTGAGTTTGAGAATTATATCAGTTTAGTTATTAAAGTGGTTTTTAAAAAACTTCCCAGGCTATGATTTTTATCTGTATCGGTTCAGTTAGGTGTTTTATATTTTCTGTAGGACACAGGTGAGGGTAAACTGGTTGTAGATGAGTAACAGAAAAATGATGGAAAAACATCTTGGTACCTGGGTAAGGGAGAGAACCAGCATCAAGGCCTGGATGCCCAGGACCAGGTGTGGGGTTAAGACCATGGCTGGCCCTCAGATGAGGTGGAAATTCCATTCTAGAGAGTTAGTTCTCCCAAGACTGGAATCTGCAAAGACCAGGAGCTTTCTCCTTCTTATGTAGTCCAGGATCCAAGCTCTGAGAATGGTGTTGCCCACTATTAGGATGGGTCTTCCTACCTCAATTAACCTAATCAAGGTAAGCCCTCCCAGGCATGCCCAGGGGCTAACCTAATCTAAATAATCTAGGTATACCATGGATCTATCTACTGCTATATAGGAGCTCTGTTTGCTTTCTCTTAAGCACCACTCTATGAACCTATAATAAACTCTTTCCTAGAACCTCAAAGTAAAAAAAAATAAGTAAGTAAATAATCTCACAGGCATGCCTGGAGTCTTGTTTCCTGGTGATTCCAGATCCTGTCATGTTGACAATGAACAGGAACCATCACAATACCTTCTGCCTTCCCACCAGAAATACACGAATTCATAGCTCTGTGAACAGTGTGTCTTAAACTTTGGAATATTTTTGTTGTTGCTGCTGTTGTTAATCTGGTGACAGAAAAATATAATTCAGTGTCATTCAGATTTTGACTTTTCTTAGGAGGGTGCCTATGTCTGAGCTCTGTCTGCAGTATGGTCTGAAGGACACCAGGAAAGTCCAGTGCTCCAGAAGTGTGTCCTTACTGTTCCATAGCTTCTCATCTGTAATTAGGTCCATGTAATCTTAGAAAGTGATTCCAAAGTCTGCTCCAAGGGAAGAGAAGGGTCTTCCAGCATTCTCATTTGAACAAATCATCACAGTGTGTCGGATTATTATGCTTCCACTGTGGGAAAGAAGGACTGTGGACCTAAGGC